GTGTGTGTGTGTAGTCACATTGGCGCAAAGGGGATACACGCAGCTTTCGCCTGCCAATAATTTTTGCTTGAAAGGATCTTGAAAGTTGGTAGGAACGACGTTGATTTATATTGAACGAAAAGTGGCTCTTCCTCCAGCAAATTAACGGCAAGATATAAATAGATTTACAGTGTAGCTTTCCTACACGGAATTTGCGTCAAGTACATAATTAGATATAGCTCAACTTGAAATCGATTTTTCTACGCTTCCGTGCTTAACTTCGCGTTAATTGTCGATACTTTTTGTTGCAGTTAAATGGAATGAAGTGTTACGTTTCACGTGCCGTTGAGGGATATCCTAGAAAGTTCCACAGTATCCAGCATGCAGTGAGTAAAGCATAAAGTACTCGATTAACGCGCGCGGTTTTGCCGGAGTGACATTTACGCATCGCGTATTGTCCGAAGTTTCGTTGGGCCGCTAATGCGTATGTACAAACGGCCGGATGAATACAGATATCTACGTGATCGAAATTTCGTATACCGCACGCTTAGTCTCGATAATCAATGCGACTAATCAGTTACCATCCGCACGCCACGCGTAAATTGTCGTTCGGAGTGACATAAATTGCCGCAGCCGCGGAAACGCCGAATAAAAATGTGTCGTACGAGAACGGTAGGATAATAAAGAAAGGCGCGCGAAGTAATGAAATTATGACGTAATGAAGTTATGACGACAAATCCTATTAAAATTCATAATGCGGAATTAGCACATTATGACTTGCAAATTTTGCAAAATGCGAGCGCATCGAAAATAAATACGGCTGGTTGTCTACGATCGCCCGCCTTTCGCGCCTAATTTTCTGTATTAAATGATTAATGTCGAAATATGTCTCTCAAATCAAGATGAACAGATGAACAGTCATTCATAATTCACATATGCTCCTTCCGGAGCAGCTGCCGTGAGCTTTGTTACATTAGTATACTAATTGTTGATTTTGCAAACGCATCGCGCACTTACAACGTTAATGTATACGTAATAGAAATGTTTACGCGTACCTAAAACATGTACATATACCATACGAGCGTGTTCGTAATCATTTCGTTTGCGTATTTATGCATTGCCGCTTGTTCGTGGACGACGCTTGATTGATTATATCTGAGCCTGCTGCTAATTACTCAACGTAACATTTCGATTACTACACGCAACGCGGATAACTACATCGATGTTTCAACTGATGAATATCAGTAGACTTAGATTAATGTTTAGATTAATTTAAATGACGACAAGAATGGCGACAACACGGAAAACTAAGTGTAATTAATTACCGTAAGATATAATTGCGCTTTTTACAATTTTAATATCGTTTCCTGTCGCGCGGGACGTTTGCATACATTAAAATATCGTGATCAAAACGTAATTATAAAACGATAAATTCTTTTTTTATGATCGTCCATGTAACCAAGAATCCCCATCTTCCCTTTGCGGCTATAAAGACCGATTACACTAATCGTTGATCCTATTAATGCACGTATTCTCATATCTGCAGTGTTACATATCCGGCAACTTTATCTAGACATATATCGCACATGTATGCAATTCTATACCTGTATTAATGGACATCAATAATTCTCATGCAGCAGTATAATATCAATCTATGCAAAACAAGCTGTAAAATAATAATAATCCGCTACGTGCAACTCAATTAAGACGCGTGTTATATCGTTCAGCCGCATGAGGCAGCGCAATAATACCACGACCTGAATCGTAACAGTTGACCCACGGCCGCACGTTATTAATTTAATATTAAGTTAAATTATAACGCGCGATACGCGCGCGCGCGAGATATATTCGATCATTGGGTAATTTTCGGCGTGACGCGAACGACGCAACGCGACGCGTCGCGCGACGTGCCACGGAAATTCCTCCTGTAAATCGACCGCGACGATTACACGGCCATTACCTTAATTGTTGGCACCGCTAACGCGCGTATTCACGCGTATATAGTTATTCGGCCGGGCACCGGCACAGGTCGGCCATATCCGGTATCGGTCTTGCACATCGGCGTTCGCGTTGGTTTGGCTTACTGTCCCCGTGGGAGACGTAGTTCTCGGTAGTGTCATGTCGAATTGCACGGGTCAACTGGAGCCGGCGAGTTAAACGAGCGGATCCGGATAGAAACATCTACACGGACGCGATTGCGTTGGGGAACACTAGAACTTGGTCTATGACTCCGCAAATAGAGCTCGCAACCGAAACTCGAACCTTGAACTCGAGACGTGAGTTACGTGAGTGGAATAACTGCTACTCGTCCTAAACTTGGCTGGAGATTCGGTGGACGCTGATAATGAATAAAGCGTATTCAATTTCTACTTCGAAGATGACACCATCAAAGTTCGCAGGCATCAATTTCATTGATGTACATACAATCCTAACGGGGCAATATGTTTAGAAAGGAGGAAATTCTCTCTTCGAGGTTTAAATAAAGAAAATCTGTTTAAAAGAAAAATTCATTTTCATCTAATTTCGAAAATATATATAAGCGCACTGATGAGAACGAAGAAATTATAAAATTAAATCCAATATGAAGAGGACGGCATACCAATAACCTCGGCATTAATAACCGGTGAACACGATAGATCGGATGCTTACAAATTCACGCCAAGTGTATCACGACGAGCAGCTTCGATTAGAAATTCCTGAAGGGTTATCCACGAGTATGCTCGACCTCTAGAAAGGCATCTAACCGAATATGATCGTGGCTTGCGCGTAAATTATGCACTACGACGCATACTATGCGTCGTATTGCTCGTCCATTATCGAGAGCGCGCGACAACGAGCTACACGATGAGATGCCAGGACGTGCAATAATATCGCTGATAACTTCCATCCCATTAACACCGAGCCCATCTTTCTCATAGTTAACGTTCCCGACAAGACTACGTGACACTTGAGACAAAAACTTCCCCCCCCCCACAGCTTTAAAAAAGATTATTCCAAGCGAAATTATATTTACAAAACGCATCACGACAGTTTTATATTTTTGTAAGTTTAGAAAAGATTAATCTATCGGAATAATGCAAAACGGACATATGACGTCATTTTTTTTCGAAACGTAGCGGGATAAAAAATTTATAATGATTTATCGCAGATAATAACGCATATTTAATCCTAATGAATTACCGTAAAAATATACGAGCACCTATTAATTATCTGCGTCATGTCAAAACTTTGTTAGAGACACAAAAATATATCTGTAAGTCAATGGCTGTAAAAAGTTGATTTACTGTTTCGTGTTTACTTCAGTCTGACACAGAAAAAAAACATGTAAAAAAAAAGTATACATATGTATATCTTGTATAAAATAATTATATATTGTCTGCAACAGCATTCTTTCACATTAACAATGAGACAACTGTTCAATTATTCTTTAAATTTAAATAATTTACCCTGCATTTCCTTGCGATTCAATTGCCATTTTTATGATACGATCGAACAATATCTACTCTGATTATATATCTCTCAGAATTGAAAGAATTTCACCGTGCGAAAAGCTCATCTCTTATTAAACAATGCCATCGTACATAATGCCCGCATTTAGAATAGCATTACGTGAATGATAATTCGCGAAGCGAATTGATTCGCCACGTGACACAAGTGTCAATAAAAGAGAACACTGGGGAAAAAGTGAGTGCCTATCATAATAACTGCATTTTTATTGAATTTGGATTACAAAAATACTAGACCGGAGACGAGCCGACCGGGATGACAGTGATATCCAATGAGTGCGAGGTTATTGCGGTGCGGTGAGTAATAACAACTGACCTCGTATATCATCGTTAATCCATCACAATGACACTATTGTTACAGCAGCTGCTGAGAGCAGAAAGGAATAATTGATCAAGTAACAATCGCGCGAGATCAGAAATCGCGAGAGCGCGAACAAGGTTCTATGAAAGGCGCGCGCGAACAAATTTTCCATAAAAGACCTGTCCGTGCCACGGGCGTCGCGACTAAGGAGCCCGCATATATATTTACACGGTTTTATGCGGTAAACTATAAATTGGAATTAACCGGGAGAGTGGTATGCGGCCAGGCGGGCTTGGAAGTTTTCCAAAAGCGTCGCGTTATTGACGCTGCGAATCGGGTAAAATGCGGGATGGGGAAAAGCGCGGGGCAGCCGCATACGGCAGCGGCGCAAGGTGAAACCAAAAATCGCCGAGGCTTGTTAAATAAATAAAAAAGAGAGAAAAAGGGTAAAAGCACGTAACGCACGCCACATGGTCGCGCATGTATTCATGGTGCGTACACAGGTGCGGCGCGGTGCGGCGCGGTGCGGCGCTTAGCCTCGGGAACCTGGTATGCCATTATATTGGGAGTTTATGGCACCGTTTCGGTATAAACCGCTATACTCCGGACTGGTGCTGGAACGACAGAAAAATATAACCTCGTATGTCGTTATAATTAGCCCTCTATTACGCTTAACGTCCATTAATGCCGTTAGTTTCGAAGCGCGGCGGATATAGGATCGTAGCGAAGGACCGTGTTTCTATGTGAGAACCGTGGAAGCGTGAAATTTCGTCGATGCTAAATCGAGCGAATCTGCCATTTCGATGTCAATTAATATTCCACGCTCCGTTTTGTATTAATCGCTCACAGGAAACTCTGTTCGAGCGCAACGTGAACTTAAGTTCCCGCTAAATGTAAACGCACAATGCGTGATTCTGAAATTTACGTCTATTTTTTTCAAAAATATATAATTTAAGCATCATTTTTTAACTTTTCAAAAAAAAAAGAAAAGAAAGAATATAAATAACGATTTCATTTAGATTATACATGTAAAAATGAAATGATATTAAAATGAGCTACACATTAATCCAAAATGCGAAATAACGTGATAATTACTATGAAATAAATTTTGTTCTGTTTTTAACGAGCTTAGTCCATATTGCATAGCTTTCTTTCCAATAACAACGGTGACAGGTGGAAATTTATGTAACGAGCGTGATAGAAATTAAGCACCATGAATGTAATTAATGTCAGCGAGAAGATTAAATTCCTACGTATTCCTGCTTTTCAATTAAAATTATCTTTTAATTTAAATGATTATTAACATTTGTGATATATTCGCGCAAAGATTTCGGATAATACAAATGGAATATTACAGATATCTTAGATCTCTATTAATGTTTCAATTTCAACGAAAAATTCAACGAAAAATTCAACGATCGGCTTTCCGGAAAGTTTGCACACGCGCAAAGATTTCTTCCCGTCTATTATCATCGACCGCCGATTAATATTCCTGAATATTTTATATTTGCAAGACCCGGAATAAAAGTGCGTAATTATCTTTACGCACGATTCAAGATCTTTCAAGAATCTTAAACCG